GCTGCGTTTTATTGGTACGGATCGCTGCTGACACTTCACGTTAACGGCTCTCGGAAGACGACATCAATGAGCGATGGATGCGTACTGCGTGGCTCCACGTACGCGCCATAGCAATGGGGCATAGCGACACACACACACACACAGTGCGATGTGTTCGGCACGCACGCACTATACGCTGGGTGCGACACGGGCCACATGCGTGTACTTCACGTACATGACAAAAGGAGACGTGCGTACAGCAATGCACGTGACGGATATCGCCTACACGCTACAAATCTGATGCACGTAATTGCACAGCTGTGGATAACAATCACATTCAGTATGAATAGCAATGCCAATAATTATCGTATTAATTATAATCAAATCCATAATTATTGACATTATTATTTATGCACGCATATAGTTTCAATGATTCATGAACATATTACGCATTTTTGTATTCATATCAATAATATACAGCCGAATTAGTCAATATCCACAGATGTGTTGGTCATGGGGGAGGTTGTTTGACCATACTTCACCGCGCTAGTCAGTACGAGTTGGTGAAGGTAGGGGGCACAGGTTTGGATGTCACTCGCCACTCACGATGGCCGTGGGCGGGAAGAGGAACTCAGGTTGACTGGTTCAAAGTGCAGTGCACTAACCACTGCGCCACCACTCCCCTCTCGCATATTTGAAATATAAAAATAAAACATATAATAATGGATAGCACTGACATAGAGGGCACAAGTCAATGGCCCAGCTATGACGCACAGTGATGAGATGGGTGCACGCGTAGCGAGGTAGACCGCCCAGAGCGATGCATTTATGGTGACCGATAAAGGGAATGTTGATTTGAAGCTTTCGAGACTGCAGGAATCCATACTCTTTGGTTTTTTCGGTAAAGTCACGTAGGTATAAAAAATAAAATAAAATAAATTTACGACGTTTCGTGCGCAACACAAGCGTCCGTCATCAGGTGGGAAAGCATGGTCTGCTGCTGATAAAGGGAAGGCGAGGACACGGCGATTACATGAGTGATTGCTATTGTCTGGCTGGAGCGGGTGGGGTGATTTGGAAGGCGTGGGCATCTGTGGAGAGTTGATTGGGCGGTGATGCAGGAGGGGGACACGGGTTTGTAATACGGGAGTGCGGGGAAGATGATTGGAGGGAGGGGGGCGCGCTACCGTGATGTGGAGGGCTTTGGATATGGAGCGAAGAGGGTGAGCATCTGGTTTACGTAGCAAGCAGTTTAATTGTAGATTAAAAAAAAGGATAGCTGCCGCGGATGAATCTTTGTGGTTCTTACGTGACATCTTGGGTTAAGCGTCCACACACACACACACCTACTCTCACTGCCGTGGTCAGCCGGGTCTTTTATTTGTTTTGCGAGTGGTGGCTATCACTCCTTAAGATGTACTATCACGAAGTAGGAAGTTGTGTTTCCGTGGTTATTACACATGCAGTTATTCAGAGTGTTTGACACGGCCATTCTGGCTACGGACAACACTTTCTGTATACAGGGATTGCTTGTATCCGGAGCCCACTAATCCCAGACTCCCCATGAGAGCGGTAAGGGGGTGAGTAGGGGGATGGGGAGAGATTTTTCCGTAGCTCGGCCCAGGACGAAATGAATCCCCGAATGAGTGTGTGGAAAGCTATGCACAAAGACAAATGTATCCTGTATAGCCTTTAACCGGCTGTTGGGGGGAAGTGCTGTTAGCGAGCACCTACGAAGTCCGGCACAAGAGTGGGTGGGTGGCCAGCGCCACGCCCGGTCGCCTTTGTCTCCCTAGTGGCGACGTTTACACAGACTCATTCGAGGCGGAGTCGACCTAGGGGAGGCCCGGCACCGGGTCCGATAATAATCGTCAGCTGGCGTTGGCCGTGAGTGGGATTTGAGCGCCAGCTTGCCGGGTGCGTATCGCAGGGCGCTAATCCGCCACTCTTACCGCTCCCCCACACACAGGGTCCGTCCGTGCCCCCCCCTCTTGGCCGTGCCCCCCCCCCCCCCTTGGCCGTGCCCCACCCCCCCCCCCTGGCCGTGCCCCCCCCCCCCCTTGGCTGTGGCCATCTTCTCGTTGTCATTCAAACCGTGTGGCAGATCTATCGGCCAAGCAGCCCGACGCGCACGGGAGGAATTCCTCCGGCGCGCACTCGACGGAAAATCTACTGGAAATCTGCGGCATCCGCGCGCCCGCGTGGGGTGGGGGGCGAGGGATTATGTTTGACTCGTCGCCGGTACAGATCCACGGTTCCCCGAGCTCCCGTCGCTGGCTGCAGCCCTGAAACGTCGTCGCGGGGAATTCTCAGAGGGACGATAAAGGCGCAGCTCCGCAATGAGCCGCTGGCGCGACTGCCGCCGGTAGAGGGCGCTCGAGAGCGAGGAAGAGGGTCCAGCGAAGAGGGTGTTTTGGCCTACTCTTCCACGCCGGCCAGACGACTTTTGTTTTTAGTGATGAGGTGGGAGCCGCCACACTTTTTACCCCACCGCACGCCAGGACGCGCTGCTTCAGCCCGGCACCCTCTGGCGGAATACGAATGCGACCGCTGTGTCGTATTCACGCTGTGATCAAAGTTTAACGGCATTGGTTACTCGCACACGTCGTGGATTGTCGGACGCACCCCTAATTTCTGCTTTCAAATACAAGGCTGAGTGGTGGGGGGGGGGGGGGCGGTGCGTCTTATAATCCGGTGGACATGAACGTGTAGCAACCTCCGAAGTACTGCACGGATGTCTCCCCCGTGTCCGTATCGCCCTTGATCTATCCATTGCTGGATGAAGGTCTCTTCCCCCCCCCCCCCCTCCAAACTCCACTCAGCGGGTTAGTGTGACCGTACGGCGTCGTCCTCGTCACCACGCCGCTGTCAAAGCGGATTGATGAGAAGCTCTGGTCCAGTGAAGAAACCCCCGTGCCACTGATGATGGCCGTGACCACCCGGGGTGGTGGGGGGGGGTGTCGAACTGGGGTAGGCGGTCGGGTTTGTTGCGGTGCGCTAGAGGTCGGCAACCAAGATCACGAGAGAAGAGGAGACACTTTCGAATTTGATAAAACAACCCCCCCCCCCTAAAATATTTCAAGAGCCGCAATGCATGTGACTAGATTACGTCACGAAGCGGTCTTCGCGGAGCCCCCCACAGCTGCAGGAGATGCGGGTTTCGCGACCCCCCCCCCCCGTTGTAGCGGAAATGCGCTAACCGCTGCGCCACCGTTCCCCCCGCCCCCCCCCCCCCCCCCCCCCCCACTTACGCGACAAATGTTTTGTTTGTCATAAAAAAAGCACGCACAACAAAATGCATCGGATGTGATGTTGATACAAGCGACTGATTCGCGCGGTCTGTTCACCAATTAACTGTGATTATCCTTGCGGAGCGTAGGGGTTGGAGAGCCCCAGGTGAATGGCACTCGCTCTGCCTACGAGCGGTTGAGCAGTCGATGCCCGTTTCAGTTCTATGTGTTAAGTGTAGCCCTGCGAGCCATGCGGCTCTTGACTCGGGTGCAACCGCGACAAACAAAAACATGAACAAGGAACATCTTGAAGTGACTACGCGCAACAGAACAATTCACTTTGCCGCGCGCAACTTGCGAGAGAGAGAGAAACTTTGCTCGTCGGAGCGTTCATTCATTCATTCACTGCTCGCTCGCTCGTTCAGCAGTGGAGGTGGGGGTCTCGCTCTGCGAAGCGCGATTGGTACCACGGGTATCCCTGACGATTGTGATTTTGTCGTCCTCTGCCGTCTACCCACTGCTGGATGAAAGCCGTCGTGCGCCAGTGCGGATTGGAGGAGTGGAGATTGTCTCTACCGTACTTATTTTAAGGTCGATTGTACCTAGGGGAGGGCCCACGACCGGTTCGGATACCGCTCGCCACGGATGATGAACGTGCCCAGGTGTCGAACTCGGGTTCGGAGCAGTGCGCTGACCATTTTGCTCCGTCATCAAATAATCGATACAATGAATATAGCCATTGCTAACACGCGACTGGCAGCTGTACAATTGCTGTTGGCTGTATCAGTCTGTGGATCCTTATCGGTGTACTTTAGGCTCGCACATACAATGCATTGCATGGAGAGTATCATGCTGCAAACACACTATTGTAATTTCCTCCACCGCGAAACGAAATCAAACCGACTGCAATGGAGCAATACCAAGTTATGGTTTTTTTTTATCAGAAGCAGAATATGTATTTATACCGGAGGAATCCGCACCTCCGATTATCAAGGTTGGCTACGTACGAAATACGTGCGTAAGAAGTTCAACATGCATATAATGCGATGAAGCTCTCTTTTCCGCAGACGTCCAGTAGTTTCACAAATATCCAGTAGGGACATCTTTCGCATGACACGTCGCTCTCATTCACGGCCAAACTCCACGTCTTCCATGCAAAGGTAGCATCACACGCTGACGTCCTGCACACGATGATTTTACATCGGCACCAATGTCTCGCGTTACAGCCACTCACCAATGCGCAGCATGCCAATCGCGAGTAAAGGCAATTGCAATATGCAGCATACACCACCGGTCCCGTGGACGTGTCTAGGACAATAGCATTACTATTTCTTGCAAGACATAATTAAATCAATATGCTTTGCTCAGGTTACATTCACATGCCCGACATACACATTGCGTGCTGCAGAGCAACTGTATTATTATGGCTCATGCGCAAAGGTCTTCCGTTTAGCCATATACTCACAGGCTGCCGGTACAAGCGCTGCTAACGAGCACATTAAGGGCAACACGCCACACTCGGCCGCCTTTGTCTCTCCTGTGGTGACGTCTACGCACGGCACTAGGTAATGCTCATTTTGAGAGTCGGTCGACCTCGTGAATGCAACTCTTCCCCCCCCCCCCGGTAGGATCGGTATGAACCTGCCACTGAAGGCAACTTTTCCCCCTCCCCAAACATTCATTTTACAAACAATGCACGCAGCGACATCCCGACGTGCCACCAGCAATTCAAGTCCGCATTAAACCAACAATGTCAACGGGGCCGATGCGAGTGAGCGAGACGCAACTTACCTGGGTCCTTTTTTTTTATTTGTTAAAAATGACAAAGCCACTTTTCGGAATTTCTCTTGGAATCCACCGCTCCTCTCTAAACGTTCATGCAAAACTGCACGGGTGGTCTCAGCCGTCGAGATTAGGGGAACTTCAACGCACAGCGTTGAACTCGATGCTGCTTGCCGATGCTGGTAATCGGAGTTGCTGCTGGCCGCTGGCTGTGGAGAGACGATGGAAGGGGGCTTGGTTCAGAAGCAGACTCGCTGCTGCTCGCAAGCCTCCTAGCCACTGCGCCGTGCCGAAGCTGCCACCGCGATGTATACCGGCTGCCCTTTAGCCAGGGTAAGAGGGGCGGAGCGTTTCTCCCTGCCTTGCTGGGTGGGGGGGTGTGGGCTCCTCGCGCGCAGTTGTGCGCGTCTGTGTGTGTGTGTGGCACGAGTCTGCGTGAGTGTCTGTGGGGAGCGGTGGTGTAGCGGTCAGCGCGCTGCGATGACGAACCCGGCAGAGGTCCGAGTTCGATTTCCGCTCGTGGTCCAACACCAGTGACGATTTTCTGCGCCGGATCTGGGCCTCCCTTAGGTCGACTCGGCCACAAATGAGTACCTGGGGCGGTGTGTGTAAACATCGCGCACTGGGGAGACAAAGGCGGTCGGGCGTGGTGTTGGCCACCCACCCCCTCGTGTGCCGTGCCGGCCTTCATAGGTGCTCGCTAACAGCACTTGCCCCAACAGTCTGTGTCAATAGATATTATCTGCGCAAACGTGTCAATGATGTATTCACCCAAAACTGCTTTTTGTGTGTTAGTTTATTGTCCTTCCTCGCACCTCCGATTAGCAGGGTTGGCTACGTACGGTGCAAAAGAAGTTCCACATACGTACAAGGGGCGATATGAATTGGTGAGACGTATTAATGGATGGTGGAGCGGTGGTACAGTGGTTAGCGCACTGTGCAATGGGCCCGAATCTTACCTGGGTAAAATTCCTGGTCACGGCTAACATCAGTGGCGAATTACAGTAGCATGTCTCAACCAGTCCTGCCCTCTCCTGACACCTACCCTTTTCACCATGCTGCTCTGGCCAGAGAGGTGAAGTATGGTTAAACATACCACAACGCCCACCAGCAGTGGATTGACAAGAGCTAAATAATGAAACGATGATATTGTAAGTGTGTTATACCTGTGCACGCAGTACCTGTGAATTTCTTTTAAAAAAACATCACTTGTTTTTATGCGTCCGAAATAACGGCATCATTTGTTTTTCGTCATGTTTAAACAAACTATTGCTCTGTGTGTGTGTGAGCGTGTGTAGGTGTCTTTGTGAATACGGGTTATGTCACTGATGTTCTATCACCGCCCAAATTTATTTGCAACAGGCGGGCACTGTCCCGTATTTGTTCATGTCACGCGTGTGTTGGGTTGGGTTAAAACATTTTTTTTTTACTTGGTCGGCAGTGTGCGATATTTCAAGTTCTGCATTACGCAAAAATAAAAACACGAAGCAGTTTTGTAACGGAAAGATTTGTGCGTCAAAAAAGATCACGTTCACGCACCAGCTCACAACCGGGGACCCTCTGATATTTTGTTTAAAGCCTTAATATTCTCGCTCGGGGTAATGGGACGCCAAAAAAACGTTGGTGTTTTCGTCTTTTTTATTAAAATTATTATTCAGTGAAAATTTTCCACGTTTTGATTGGAACAGCCACGGAATCGCCCGTTGGCACACTGCGTATAATTTGTGTGGAGCGGCGGTGCAGCAATTAGCGCACTGTGCCTCGACCCGAGCTCGATTCCCGCTCACGGCCAACACCAGTGACGGTTATCTGAACGGGTTCTGGGCCTCTCGTAGGTCGACTTAGCCTCAAATCGAGTACCCGGTGCTGTGTATAAACATCGCCACGAGGGAGACAACCCATCCCCTCGTGTGCCATTCTGGTCTTAATAGGAGCTCGCTGACAGCACTTGCCTCCAACAGTCTGTTCAGGCTAATGGGGGGCGTGGTGGGGGGGGGGGGGTTCTTTGTCTTTGTAATTTGTGCAGAAATTTGCTGTGCATATTGTCGATGACATGTTCCCTGGATGCTGCCGCGGTGTTGACGGCTGCCACGCTGGTGAGTCCACCTGGGATTCAGTGGTCGAGCAAGACGACTCAAAGGACAAAAGCGTTGGAGACTGGTGAAACTCCAAACCCGCTCGACTATTAGATGGCCGGTAGATGGCAGTACAGCAAGTGGGTTCAATAGCTCATCTGTGCGGAATATTGCGTGTTGCCCACATCCATCGCAAAGGGATTGATGAAAGATGTGAATAATAATAATACGTAATAAAAATAATAAACACTCGGTGAGGCTTTTCTGAATAACACCACCTTTCTGTATATTACGACGGAATCCACCAAGTCTTCTGAAGGGGTAGCGGAAATACAATGTTCCAGGGTGGTATGTACGGGTGGAATCGGCGTGAAAATATGAAAACGTTTAAATATCACTCGCCTCTCTTGGTAGCTGCGCCCGGGAGTCGAACCCATGGGAGCCACGTTTGTAGCGCAGTGCGCTAACCACGGCGCCTTGTCAATATTGGAGGACCGGCACATTCACTGCTCAGGGCTCTTGACACAGATGCGAGCCACGCGAGCCACGTGAGCCACCGAGGAGCGAGGACGTGACCCTTCAGAACGGCCCCAGCGACGAGATGAACATTAATGGGCCAAGATTGAAAAAAAAGAAATGAAATTAAGTCACTGGATGGTTTTGTTAATCACCGCCATCAATCGAAATTAACTGCCCCATTGATTTATAGGTCGCGTGATTATTAAGGGTTAGCATTGCCAATTCATTTGCGCCCACATCTCTTTTCTTCACACGGTGTTCTTATCTCGACGACTTGGCCCTTTTTTTTACGAGAAAGGGCGGCCTTATGGAATTTGACACGCATCATCATCATCATCTGTCTGCTTCGGATTTGTAGGCAATTTTAATTAAATCTGCCGTAGTGTAATAACGCGGGATTCGAGATGAAATGCGCCCTGCGAAATTAGTGCATTTGAGGGCGTGAAATTGTCATCGTGAGACCCAGAACCGAGCTGCTCTTTAAACAGACGAGATGACACACACGTCGGCAATGAACTCATCAAAAGTCCGTCCTGCTTATTCGTACGAGCAAATCGGACGCCGAGACGGCGTCTGCCACGCCGTGATCGCAATCCGTCCGTTCTTCGACATCCCTGCACACTCATCGATCTCCCCCGGGCATCATTTCCAATGCGAACGAGCATATCAGCGGCCCTCGCAACGGCAAACGTGAAACGAACCGCATTCTTGGTTGCTACTGAACGTCGAAAGGGCTTTGTCACGCGTGACGCGGTGGCGAGGAGACGTTTCTCTTCCTCGTCCGATTACGCAGGAGGTTCGTTGGTTCGATCCCGGGACCCTGACGATGCCTGTTGTGCATCTGGAGTCTGCGCGAGTTCTTTCCATCTCCGTGGTGGTCGCGTCGATGTGTCTCTGGGGTCCTCCTCCGGCTTTGCTCGCCTCCACATTGAAAATCAAAATGCGCGTTTAGATTATTTGGCTGCTGCTACTGTACATTCCCACGTGTGATGACTGATGATGATGATTATAGCAGACACCTCGACGAGCGATCACGCGTGGCCAGGTCGCCTCTGAAAAAAGCACCACTATAGCTCCGTGTGCTTTACTTGGTAAAAAAAAATAATAATTGTTTAGTGAAGAGCGACTGCCTTTTAGGGTAGTTCCAAATTAACTGATTCGAACTGAACTCTCAATGTCCCGCAGCAACATCAACCTCGACGCAGTCGCGCTGCCAGCGATCCCGGCGGGAGACGTCGAGAACAGCCACCGTGCACAAATCGCCGCGGCTCAAGACCCCGATTCTCCAAATCGTATCCCGACCGCGCGGCTCTGAACTCGCGACACAGAACGTGCCGTCTGATATTTCACACACGCAGCAGATGTGGCCAGGCGGCACGATGGTTTGACCTCGAGCACTGACGAAGTATCGATTTACATCGATTCATAAGCACAGACGACGTACGCACGTGGCCACGTGTGTAAGGATCAATGCTGTTGATTTGTATGCGTTGAATCTAACGGTAGTCGTATAGCTATTTGAGTGGCGAGGCAGTTCGACCCGAAGACCTGTGGGACTCGGCACTGGGCCGTTGAAGAGGGGGACAATGTGATATATTGAGAAGACTTGGGGGGGGGCAGTTAAATTACTTACGCCAGTGCCCATACTAATCACGCGACGCCACTGCGTCATGGTTCATGTCATTCCTGCAGCTATTGGGGCGCCACGGTGGCTCGGAGATGTTAACTGCCTCGCCTGGTCTACAGGAGGGCGAGGGTTCGATCCCGACTCCTGACGCCTGCTGCTGCTGGACATTTGGAGTTTGCATGTCTCTCTCTCATCGTCATCACGGTGGCTTTGAGATGTTAACTACCTCGCCTGGTTTACAGGAGGGCGTGGATTTGATCCCGACTCCGGACGCCTGCTGTATATTTGGAGTTTGCATGTCTCTCTCTCATCATCATCACGGTGGCTAGGAGATGTTAACTACCTCGCCTGGTCTACAGGAGGGCGTGGGTTCGATCCCGACCCCTGACACCTGCTGCTGGACATTTCGAGTTTGCATGTCTCTCTCTCATCATCATCACGGTGGCTAGGAGATATTAACTACCTCGCCTGGTCTACAGGAGGGCGTGGGTTCGATCCCGACTCCTGACGCCTGCTGCTGTATATTTGGAGTTTGCATGTCTCTCTCTCATCGTCATCACGGTGGCTAGGAGATGTTAACTACCTCGCCTGGTCTACAGGAGGGCGTGGGTTCGATCCCGACTCCTGACGCCTGCTGCTGTATATTTGGAGTTTGCATGTCTCTCTCTCATCGTCATCACGGTGGCTAGGAGATGTTAACTATCTCGCCTGGTCTACAGGAGGGCGTGGGTTCGATCCCGACCCCTGACACCTGCTGCTGGACATTTGGAGTTTGCATGTCTCTCTCTCATCGTCATCACGGTGGCTAGGAGATGTTAACTATCTCGCCTGGTCTACAGGAGGGCGTGGGTTCGATCCCGACCCCTGACACCTGCTGCTGGACATTTGGAGTTTGCATGTCTCTCTCTCATCGTCATCACGGTGGCTTTGAGATGTTAACTACCTCGCCTGGTCTACAGGAGTGCGTGGGTTCGATCCCGACTCCTGACGCCTGCTGCTGCTGGACATTTGGAGTTTGCATGTCTCTCTCTCATCGTCATCACGGTGG